GATTTAGCTCAGTGGTTCCGCTGCCTGCCCTGCAAGCACAAGGACTGGAGTTTGATCCCCGATACCAAAATAAAATAAAATAAACATAGTAAAATATTGGATTAGCTCTTCTAGTTCTGAACTTCTACCAAAAATTCATTGCGCCCAGTCCTCCCAGGTATCTTAAATTTACTAACTTGATTTAGGCTTAGAAGAAATGTTTTCCCCCTAAGCAGGTACAGTAATGGGCTGCATGTGGATTTCTTAATGGAACAGTCATTGGCATCTTTGCATTTTAAAGGAAGCCCCAGGCCTCTGCATAAATTTCACATCAGAAAACCCACGTGTAAGAATATTTATTAATGTTTACTTACCATTAGGGAAGGGGAAGAGACTGGCACTCCCAGACCACCTTCCTTCTGCTTCAGTTTGAACAAGAAATAACTCTGTATTTGAAAAAGTGCATGTATTCAGTGAACAATAAGAAAGGTCTAATATGCAACAAGAAAATCATTTTTCTTTTACTCTCTTAGCCTACCTTTTGTGCATTTTTACTCTAATGGTAGGATGCATTTCCACAGATATATAATTACTATCTTTACAAATGGAAAGCTCTTACTGTCGTGAGCATGAAATCAGTCTCATCAGCTTTACATTCCAGACAATGGGAGTTTTCTGTGAACTGAAAATCCCACTCCATCCCCATCTGATTCCAGTGCCAGATTTGACAGCAGGCTGTTTTTCATTTGTTTGTTTTTTGTAAAGTATTAATAAGCTATAAAGAAGGAAGAGTTTTACTGGTGCATTGCAGGGAATACGAGAAAGACATGCTTGTATATCTTCTTACATTTGATGTTAAAAGCTTGCCATTTTGAGAATTTAGAAGCCATAAGCCACTGTCCACTAGAGTTTTGTGTGGTTTGGGGATTTTAAAATGAAAATTGATACATCTCTTAACCAAGAGTATTTTATACTTTCCTTCTCTCACTACACCTTTCCATTTCCCTGCTGCCTTTCTCAGTAGTACCCTCTGCCCACTCCCGTGCCCTTATGTGACTCCTTCGTTGATATCAGTGGCAGACCCTCCCTGTCCTCTCCTGCCCCATCCCGGAATATCAGAGAGAAGCCCAAGGACCAGAGCGAGGTTCCCAGTGGTCAGTGCTGTCACCAGCTCACTGAGGGCACAAGTGGAGATCACACCCGGGGTCCAGAGCACACCTATCCCTGTGGCCTGCAAGCTGGCTGGTGCTGAGCCACCGAGAGAAGCAGCCCACTGGCTGGAATTGGGTGGATTTCTAACTAGGAGCCCTGGCACTGCACCCCATGTGTCCACGGGCCAAGGGGCCAGGTGTCTGCTCCAGAGGTCAGTTCCATCTCACCGGAATAGGGTTCCTCATAGGACTGTGCCTTACTGGCTTTTTAAGGATTATTAATTCCATTACTTTCCTCTTTGTTAGGTAGTTGCTTAAAAGTCAGTCATAAAAAGTTCTAGTGCTTTGCAAGCTGGTCCAGTTCTCAACCTGAAGAAAATGCTGAAGTCTTCCTAAGATAGCCTGTGTATCAAAATGGAGACTCAGTTTCTCCACCTCCTCCAGGAAGAAAGCTTTGTCAAGCTCTAGCTTAGAGGAAGACCTGGATAAGGATATGGCTGAGATGGTGCAATGTCAAAAATGACAACCAAATTGTGAAGATTTCACTATTACAAATATATCAGTTTATACTTAAGGGTGGTGCATTATGTGAGGATAATTGTTCAATTATTGCTTATGGGTTACACAAAACCACTGAAGATTTCTGAGCTAACTTCACTATGGTAGAATTGCTCCTATTCACTGTGGGCCTACTAAGCTGCCAGGGAATGCACTAAATGTTTTTCTACTATCATACATAGTTCCCACAGCCTTATAAAATAGGTATTATTTCAAAGAAAAGGAGGCACATGAAGGAAAAGGTATACATTTGGTTAACAGGCATCTGGGAATCCAACTTAGAGCTAAGTTGTTCATGCAATGGCTAGAAATAAAGTAGTGGCTAAATCAGTAAGTGGCCAGAAGAAATTCCTGAAATGTTTGTCACTACTCTTGAGAGTTTTTAGCATTTTTCAGTGATTAGGTAATTGGATCAATTTTAATAATTCAATATTTTTCCTCCTAAGAATGTACTTTTCAACATTTACACCCAATCTAAATAACTTAACTTTGCCTATAATTTGGTGACAAGGGACTTCAACAAAAATGGCAAGATTTTTAAATTAATTTGGTTCATTGACTTCATCCCTAGTACCAGTAGTGTTCTTGAGCTATGTCACCACATAGACCAAAGTTTGAATCCTGGTTCTGAAACTTGGTGGCTGGGAGGATTGGGAGAATTTATTTTAACTTTTCTGTTTCTTTATCAATAAATTGTTACAGTATTGCTTAACTAAAAATCTTTGCAGTAGAAGCACAGTGTAGTAAGTTGGCCAAAGATGGTCAATAATCATGCAGTGTTGAGGGCTTCCAGTCTCTTTTGAATGTGATGATTTATAAAGAGCAGAAACACACCAGTAAAGTCCTGTCACTTACCTGATGATTAAAATAACAAAGGTTTCCTGTCATTTATTTATTCAATAAGTGTTTACTGAGTGCTTACTCTATGACAGGTGCTATTCTGAGTGCCAGGGAAGAGACAGTAAACAAACCAGACAAGGTCTCTGCCTTGAAAGCATACATTACAGCAACACATAATATAAAAGCATACATGACGCTCATTTATTTAATAGACTTTATCTTTTAAATCAGTTTTAGGTTCACAGCCAAACTTTGTGGAAAGTACAGGGCATTCCCAGACAACTCCTCTTTCTTCCTTGCCTAGCTTATAGGAGGTATTTGAATACCTCTCAGAATGGGTGGTCAAAGATCCCCAGAGAGTAGGAGTATCTACATAGAGCCATGGAGTGTTGGACCACTCATCCAAGGAGCCAAGGAGCCAAGGACCCAGAGTCACGTGTGTCCTCTGTCTGTGCCTGTTACTAGAGCTCTGACAGTTTAGGAAACTGATACACCAAGAGGCTTAATAATTTACCAAGACTACACAGTTGGTATGTAATTGAGCTAGGCTTTGAACACAGGAAATCTGGCTCTTGATTGCTTGCTCTTCACTAATAAAATCCAGAATGTCAGAGGAAAAAAAAAAGATACACAAAGACAACTACAGCTATGGTATTTTTCACTTTTATTCTATATATAAGCTTCAACGTAACTGATCCTACTCTTTATATTCAATGTTGTATCTTACTTTCTTTCAAACTGAACCCTGTAATAATTTTTGCATGTTGTTCAATATTCCTTGTAAAAGTTGTTGAAGGCGGGTGTGCTTGCACATGCCTGTAATCCTACCACTCAGGAGGTTGAAGCAGGAGGATTGCTGTGAGTTCAAGACCAGCCTGGGATACACAATGAGCTCAAGGCAGCCTAAACTACATAGCTACATAGTGAGACCCTATCTCTGAGACCCTATCTCAAAAACCCAAGAAAGAAAAAGTGGTTGCTCTTTAATAATGCTCCTGTTGTGTAAGTGTACCACTCTTTGTGTAACATTCTCTCCTAGCTGGCCATAATGCCCTCCACCTTTCTGATTTGATCACTAGTACTATGATGACTATCTCCATGCGGAATTTCTTATCTTCTTCAGAATATACTTTTAGGGTACCATCTCAGAAGTAGCATTTTAAGCCCAAGAATATGAACATGACTAGATGAACTTCTAGATAAAGGTTGTTGTTTTCTGAAGAATTTGAATGTCTCAGTGTCTACAACACTACACAGAAATAGCCTCTTTTCTCAGTTTATTAGCACACGTGTGTAGTACATAATGGGAAGTTGGTGCATTGTACATAACACATCCTAATCTCTTTTTTCATCCCATTCCCCATTTTCACTTTCAAAACAAGTGTGAGCAGACTTGTCTTTCCCCAATATTCTTATTTTATGAGTGGTATGTGCCTCACACGTGGCCAACAAGAGCACTCCACGTTTCACACCAGGGATTGATCAGAGATGGGCATGTTACCCAACTGGAGACCGCAAGACACAGGGGGACTTTCAGAGGGACTAGCGGGAGAAGCAGGGCATGTTCCCTGCATGTTCTGTGTGGAGGATGCAGCTATAAACTCACCAGCTATGACATCTTACAATGAAGCAAGCCAAAAGATAGCACCAAGAAATAGACTCAGAGGCATCTGATGGCATCATCTGATCACCAGAGTCACTGTTGCCTCAGCCCAGCCTTACTCCACCACTTTCCAGATTCCCTGCTTTGATTCACCTGAATTGTATTTTCTGTCATTTACATCCAAATCATTCATCACTGTACAGTGGACCCTCAAATTATGACCAGCCTGACATACAAACAACTTGAGTTAATTAGATTAATGAAAGATTCATTTGCCTCTTGTTACCTATAGTGAGTACCCAGGTAAACATCCAGATCTCAACTGTATTGACTTACAACCAACTTGAGTCACGACCAGCCATCAGGAACCAATCGAGTTTATAAGGCAAGGGTCCGTTGTATAATGAAGCTCCCTCTTCCTGGCTCCCTCTTCCCTGCTAGCCCCCTATGTCATCAGTTTGCCGACTGTAGAAGATATGTACTTCAAAATGTTGGAAAGCCTGAACAGAATTTTGAATAAAGATCACCTGAAGCGGGACAGGTCCCTAGTCAAGAAATCCTGCAGAGGAAATTACCCTCTCTTGTCTTTGTCAGCACAAGGCCCTCCCACAGGGGAGCATTGATAAACTTTCATCACCAGGTGAGACTGCTTTTGTGGCCACCTCATTTCAGATATCTTATTTTCTGGGTGCTCTCAGTGTGAATTCTGTCTCTCCAACTTATCAAATAATCCTCTCAATAAGAACAAGTATGTTGGCCCTGGACATAATTTCATGTTACTCCAAGCCAGGCACTCAGCCTCTCTGAGCCTCACGTCGTCTTTTGGGCCATGAACCCATGGGAAACATCCCAGAATGGGATTTATATGCTCGAGTTCCCACAATTGGCATTTGCACCACTAGGGGGGTCTTAACTCTGATGTGTAAGCTGCCAAATTTGACATTGTAGGTGGACTGTACTGAGTATATTAGTAAGAGCAGAGTCAACCTTGCAGCCTGTAGCACTTAGTTTCTTAATGGGCCTGGCCACCTCCTCATAAGGTGAAGTTGCTTTTTTGGCTTGTGGTGTGGGGTGAGGGCACAGTGGGGAGACTGTGGTGGAGCTCAGATGAGACCCATTGTGCTTAATTTCTCCTTCCCAGGAAAGCTAAATACTTGACAGTGATCTGTCAGGTGATTCTAAGGGCTGCTTTCACTTTTCCATTCATGATGCCTCCACATCACCTTTACCTCTGCACCACGTTCTCTCTTTTTAGTGGTCTTGATATAGGAAATAATACTTGAGATGAAATATGAAATATTATATCTCCCAACCTGTTAGCTGAATGATATGCCAAGCTCTTGTTCTCTAAAAATTGAAGAATGAATTCTAGGAACAATGGAGGTTAAGAGTAGGAAGGTATTTATTGATAGGAAAGCTCCTAAGGGGCAGGAGGGGACCCGAGTCAGTAGCTGGGGACCCCACTCTCCAGGGGAGTTTTATAGGGTGAAGCCCACATGGTTATAACATGGGCCACAGCCATGATCATCCAATAAGGTTACAAGTATAGTCACTTAGCTAATAGTGGTCCAATTGGGAAACAAGTCACATAACAAGCGTGGATGGAAAGATTCTCCTAAGAAGTACTGGATCCAGAGGTCTCTGGTCACCCACTGGGGTGACTGATGTCTCTCTAGACTTCATTAGGCCTAGTGTTTGTTCTTTTAGGGAGTATCTAAGTCTGGTTATTTTGTCTTTATCTTGAGGCCTGGTTTCCAACCAATACGTCTCTGGCCACAGCTGTGGTGTGTTTCACCTGTGTCCTCACTGTCTTGAGGACCTAGCCCTATCTGACTGCCTGTAATATTTCTACCTAACTCATCTGTCTATAATAGTCTGACCTCTTTCATGTTTTGCTTACCAACCACCATGGCCCTGATGATGTAGCTGTGGATGAGCATGAGCATGCATTTGACACTGTTGGACACAGTTTCAGTGAACTGAACGGGGTATCTAAGAAGACACCTTTGTGGTAGAATGGCTTCAAGAAGGCTCTGATGACCCTGTCTCCTGGTATTCATATACTTGGGTAAATCCTTCTCTTCCGAGTTTGGGTTCAACTTAGAGACGTGGTTCTATGTAGTACCATAAGAGAAAGGAGACGGAACATCATTTCAATTTTTACTGTACAAAAAATTATAAGTAGCAAAACTCTTCTACCAGAATCTCGTTTCCTCATTTTGATGGTTCAAGCTGCTACATGGAGAGGCTCACAAGGCAAGGAACCAGGAAAGACTTGTAGCCACCACAGCCAGTGAGGACACCCTCACTCCAGCAGATTCTTTGTCTGCAGACACAGAAGTGAACGTGGAAGAGTGAGTGACCCTTCCCAGTTGGGCCCTCAGGTGCGACTGGCCACCAAGGATTCCAGCCGCATGAGAAAACCCTGAGGCAGAGAACACAGCTATCCTTGCCTGGGTGCCCAATCCACAGAAACTGTGAGACTATAGGGTTGTTTTGGGGTTGTTTTTGGTACCTGCAATGCAGCAATAGATAACTGATATACACCTAAGCCACTATAATTTTGATGTAAATGTTGCGTGGCTGGAAGTCAAGAACCAGAATCAGCCTCTTCAGAGAGAATGAGTTTCCAACAGCAGCCTTGCACACGTCCTCTTCGTGTTGTCTCTGCACTGAAAGACCAACCCTTGTCCTTCTTTAGAGAAATGGTAGCTTGGTGCTCTCAAAAGTCCATATTAGCCCCCAGGAAATGTGCTAAGTGAGGGAGTGCTGGGTGGAAGGAAGGACCAGGATGGAACATGGGCAGGAATAACACTTTCTGAACCTTACTTCCTGACTTGATCATTACGGTTTCCTTACGTCCTTGCTCATTTTTTTCCATAAATTCTGGGTGCCTGCCTCATGACGGTTCCTACTACTGGGATACCAAGTGATCCCTTGGTCTTGCAGTAGTGCTATCAAGCCAGCCATCCCGAGGAGGTTACCTGAGTGGGGTTCTTTCCTTTCCTAAAGGGGCCCTCATGCACAGGGAGGCATCATCGTCAAACCGACAGCAGGTTTCGCAGGTGAAGCAAAGCACCATAGCAGATTTTTCTCCACGGCCCCGGATCCTGCCTCAGCCACTCCGTGTTCACAGTAGCAACGCTACTCCCTCCACATCCCTCTAGTGTCAACTCAGCTGTGAGTTACTTGAAGCAGGAATGGGGTGGGGTGAACTATCATTATTTACAAAGTATTCTTTTTAAATTTTTTTATTTTATTGTAACCCAAGTAGATATCAATAAAGAATACAAAACACTCTTCTGTGAAAAAAACCCTTTATAACAAAATAGAGAATAACAATGGTTAATATACTATGCATCAGAATCTTAAAAGAATGGCCAAAATATTACTCAGTACAAATTAAAAAAAAAAAAAAACCCTCCCTCTTACAAACAAGAAACAAAAGGAAAAATTTTCAGTGAAAAAAAAAAAGTAGTAAAAGTGAAACAAATTGGCATGTATCTTATAGTATTTTTGAAACAATTGAATAGATAATTGGGGAATTACTTGGACTTCTCCCTACTTCCTATTTATCTATCCTCTATTTTATGTGCTCTCTTTCCCTCTCCCTCTCTCCACATATATATGGCAACTTATTTATATATTATATATAATATATATTATATATATGCAACTGAAATGAATAGACACTACTCAGAAAAAGAAGTACAAGTGACCAATAAATAAATGAAAAAATGTTCTGGCTGGGGGTTTGGCTCAGTGGTTCAACCGCCTGCCTTGCAAGCATAGGGTCCTGAGTTCGATCCGACTGCTAAACTATGCCATACAACTTCTATGTTGGATTCTGAAGTCCCCTGGACCATCTCCTTATCCTCTTTGTGGGAAGCTATTACTAGTTCCTCCTGGTAGAAATCCTTGTTGGCTATATTCATAACAATCCTGCTGACCTTATAATTTGGCCTATGTAGTCTTAACTATTTCTTTGGCTTTGTCTCCTCCAGACTCAAAGCTATATGGCTACCAAGCTGACAATGCCTGGCACCTATTGAGGGCCTTTAGATAAACCCTCTGTAGAGTAACTAACTGCTGATCACAACTACGACCCTCTTCAGCTGGAAGGAGCCAGAACAGGCTTCGTCTTTTGCCCCTTCGCAGGAGTTAGGCGTACTTCTTCAGAGAGGGCAATATTGCAGAAAGGTAAATTAATTAGATATATTGTAGGCAGTTAGACAGGGCCAGCCCACCAGGAGCCAACATGGAGGACAGTCAAGGAGCCAACGTGGAGGACAGTGGAGATACATTCACTAAAGGCCAAAATTGCAAAAGAAGAGAAACTACCACACCCATGTGCTATTCACCCATGTAGGATGAATAGCAGTAATTGATATTCTAAATAGATATCAATCACCTGAGTGGGGGCCCAACATCTTAACACAGCCTTTTCAGGAAATATCCCTGACCCCCACCCTTATTGAAAATCCTTATATACTTGCTATGTGTCTTGCTCCCCTATTTGACCCCCATTGAATCAATATTACCTGGGTGTCTGTACCTGTAATAGTATTGGTCGGTCATGGTTTTGTCCCACCTCATGCCCACCTTGTAAATTCCCATTGGGTCTTATAGTTTTGTTCCACTTTGTACCTGCCTCACCACATGGCTTTGCTGTATAAAACATCTTTGAAAAGTGGGGTGAGCAGGCAACCCACTTGCAGGTCCCCCTTCTGTCTCTCTTAGGCAGAAGCTTTCTTTCTCCCAATAAATTTTTCCTACTCTAAAAAAAAAAAAAAAAAAATTCAACATCTCCAGCCATTAGAGAAATGCAAATTAAACAACACCAAGATTCCACCTTATCCCAGCAAGAATGGCTGTCATGAAGAAATCAAATAGTAAATGCTGGCAAGGCTGTGGGGTAAAAGGAACCCTTTACACTGTTGGTGAGAATGTAAACTAGTGCAACCACTACGGAGATTCCTCAAAAAACCTAAACTAGAAACTCCATTTGACCTACCTACTCCCCTTCTAGCTATCTTCCCCAAAGAATTAAGGAATATGATCACATTACAATAATATATGCATACTCATGTTTATGGCAGCACAACTCACATTAGCTAAATCTTGGAGGTTGCCTGCATGTCCATCAACAAGTAAATGGATAAAGAAAATGTGGAGTACACAATGGAGTACTACTATGCCATAAAGAAGGAAAAACTTTAGTTATATGTAGGAAAATGGATGCACCTTGAGAACATAATTTTAGGTGAAATAAATCAGACATACAAGCTTCAGTATCACGTTTCTCTGATATGAGAAACCCAAAATATAAATATGGAGCAAAATAAAAGATAGTAGGAAATAATAAGACCGATCTTTTTGCAAATGGTAAGGGGACCAAAAGACGGAGGGAGGGGAGTAAAAGGGGAAGAGAATAAAAAAATAATTAAGATGTGTTATGTGAGGGGCCGGGGATTTAGCTCAGTGGTTCCGGCACCTGCTGCGCAAGCACAAGGACCAGAGTTCGATCCCCGGTACCAAAAAAAAATTCTCAGGATGTGTTATGTACATGTATACTAAGTCCCCACAAGGAGTGGAATCATTACGTACAGCAAATGTACTAATAAAAAATTGAAAAAAATTATGAAAAAAGTAACAGTTTTAAATGAATGACATCTCAGCTAAGTTCTAGATTTTACAAATTTTTCTAACTTTGAAGAGGCTTGAGAGCCTTTAGAGTAAAAAACTTTAATGAAAATGTAAAATGTTTTAAATGAAGGACATCTGAGAATGGTGAAGGGAAGGACCCCAAAATAAGGCTGACAAGATCACTGACACACTCCCTACAAGGAACTGGTCAGGTTTTAGCAGCAAAATACGGCAAAATCAACCACACTGAGTGCTACAGTAAAGGCTTCCTTTTCCTAAAGATGTGTTTGGGATTCCTCAAAACTGCACCTTCCGTGCAGCCCAGAGACCGTTCCCACTCTCAGAGGAAGACGCTTTTTATTTCCGTGTTCCCAAGGGCCGCGCTGTTGGCAGAGGATGCGCCGCCCTCCGCTCAGGCGTCACACCAGCGCCGGCTTTGCCTTTGTGAAGTGCTGAAGATCTCTGAGAGCCACACCTCGGACCGTCTTCAGCAGGTGTGCGGGAGCCCGGAGACGCCTAAAGAGGAGGACTCCACCGCCGAACCGTGGAATCCAACGAGATCGCAGCATCTTCCGGGGTTGCCGGAGACAGCCGCCGCACCTTCTTTGCTGCTGTGTTACACACCTCACAGAGCAGGTCTGGACACAGCAGTTGTCGAAAGTGTATGGTGTAATGCTGGCCCAGGGGGCTGCAGGAGACAGAAAGCACAGAGGTCCTTCCAGGAGCCGCACGAGGACAGGAAGACCTCCTGGGCTACTTCACACCGCCCCACAACCTGACCACACCACACACCGCAGCGTCTGTGCCCGGTCTCCCTTCACATACTGGGCACTGCCGGTCCAGCTGCCCCTCTCTGACTGGCAGAGGCCGCACTCCATCCCCCGGAGCATAGAACATGTGAAAAAAAGGAGCCAGGAAAGAAATGAAATGAGAACCCACCCTTTGAGAGCAGCAAGCAACTTCCTCCCCTCTTCTGCTTCTCTCTGGCAAGTTCTCCAACCTGGAATGGTTACACAGTAGGTTACAGCAACGGGAATGAATCATAGACCTCACACAGGAATCTCTTTATGGGAAACACAGTATTAAATTCACAAAGTCACAGGAATGGGTAGACAAGGTCAGATGGTTAAGGATGATAGGAAGAGCGTTTGCATGGATGGCTTTATTTATAAACTCCCTTCCCATATGTAATGCCATGGGATGCTCAGAACAACCCTGTGAGAAGCAGTGGCCACAGGAGTCTGAGCACCCAGGAATAAAGTACTTTACACAGTAGCAGGAGACAGAAGATCTGACTCCAAAGCGACAAAGTGTCCTTCCTGGATGTCTCACAGTCACCTGCAGGGCAGCACCCACTGCCCAGGTCAGTCACTTCTTCATAACCTTGGTGGCAGAGCCCAGACTCTGAGAAGCGTCTCAGCTGTGACTGCCTTCCCGTGTGCCTCTCCTTTCTAGCTGACACCCTCAGAGGCCAAGAATTTGGGACCTCGTGAGAGCAATAAGAGGAATCTTCCTTGGAAAGGTCACATTAAGCAGGGAGAAACCTACCTTTAAATGTTCTCCCTCTCCTCCTCCTCCTCTTGGCTCTGCCATATTGCTGAGGACAAAAAGAATACAATGAAGGGTTGGGACAGAATTCTACTCCTCTTTTTAAGAAGCTCAGGCTTCCATTATCCAAGAATAAGGTAATTTCCATTTTAATCAGCAGATGTTTTCATCCTTTTATTATCATTCAATGGTGATCAAATATTTTAAAATTTTTCCTTCTTTGAGAAACTCGGTGGAGTTTATCTGATGTTCTCCATCGGAAGTTCTCTGCTGGAGGAGTTCGTGCAGTCTGAAGCTAATGGTCACACCTGTGGCCCCTCAGAGGACCATGTCTTGGGGACAGAGCTCGAGCTCCAGGTCCACTCAGAGGCTCTGAGGTCCCAGTGCTCTCCGGATCAGCCCAACAGGAAGGCAAGCTTGGTGAAGGACGCCTGACAGGGGACTGGGGCTCACCATCAAGTATCAGCAGAGACTTCTCCTCCTGAGACCACAGTCTATAAGCTGATCAGGACACTGAGTCCCTGGTAATGATTTTACCCTGGAACCCACTACCACACCCAGATAGAGAGGTTGTGAGCTGCAGGCGGAGACCTTTGTCCTCCCTGAACCCCTATCCCTGCCTGGTTTCTCGCCCTGGAGGAGTGAGGCCCTGTCTTGTCCTCAGTTTCCCATCTCAGGTGTCTTTCTGGGCCTTCCAGACTCATTTAGAAGTGTGCAAATGGAACAGGAAAATAAAGAATTGTCCTCAGAGGACAGACTTCTTGCTCTACTTCTGCCATTAAGAAACTTGAAAACTAAATAAACTGAAAATGATTTTTCTTGCAGCCATCAGAGAATGGTATTCCCTGGGCAAACCACCCGAGAAGGTGAATAAAGATGATCATAGTCATGATCAGCTTACCTGGAGCAAAACACACGGGACCATAAACTGGCCAGAACACTTAAATGAATGCTTCGTTGAACTTCTAGAGGATGTGCTAGCATCAGAATGAAAAAGTTCCAAGAGTCACAGTTTTAGGGAGATTCCAGTTTCATGGGGTTTTTGTGCAGGATCCTAGTCCAGCTCTCACAGTGAAGAGCCATGAGAAAAACCGCCTATTTCTGACAGGAAGAGGGGAGGGATGTCCTTGAATGTACCTTGATTATTCTCCATAATAGAAGGGAACATCTGCAACAGAGCCTTAACCCACATGAGAGAAGGGAGTGACCTTACTCCAGCCTTTTCTAGCCTTCCTGTCTCACCTAAGGTATGGGGAAGAAAGCGAGAAACACTGGTGAACACCACAGCCCAGGGAAACAGCCCACAAAAAAATGAGATTTAGTCACATCCTCGCCCCCACAGCTTACCACCACATTAAAAATGTTCCAGGATGGTAACCAGGTATAATACTTTAAAAAGTTATAACATGGGCTGGGCATGCTGGTACAAGACTGTAATCCCTGCAGTGTGGGAGCCTGGAGTGGGAAGATCACAAGTCCTAGCCCAATCTGGGCAACTTAGTGATAAGCATAATCCTATTTCAAAACAAAAAACCTAAAAAGAGCTGGAGATGTAGTACTCAGTACTGTACCAAAAAAAAAGTTTACCCTCTACTTAAGGAAGACCTTAGGGAAAGAGGGAAAGCTATAGACACTAAAAGAGATGAAAACAAGGTCACTAGAGGAAATTGAAGCTTCTGTCAGGTATAGCCACAGCAAACATTAAATGCACTCAATTCCTAGTGAGATTAACATAAATCTTAGCATTAAAGGCCTATGAACCACAGATTCTATTACCCAATACATCATGCATGGCTTTTAACAACAACAAAAGTCACAAGGCGTGCTACAAGACAAGGAAAAGAAGTCTGAATAGATAAAGCAAGCATTAAAGCCATCACATCAATTTTGGAATTATGCTTGGAATCTAAAAGTCTATTACTAGCATGCTAAAGATGCTAATGGGTAAACTAGGCAACATGCAAGAACACATGCAAAAGCTAAAGAGATGGAAATTCTATTAAAAAACATCAAAAGGAAATATTGGAAATAAAAAAGAAACAAATGAAGAGTACCTTTGATAATCTCATCAATATATTACACACAGCCAAGAGAAGAAAAATGGAGTTTGAATGTATACCAGTATTTGCAAATTAAAATGCAAAAAAAAAAAGAATTTAAAAGCTTTTTGACACCCAGATTCTCCTAGAACTTTCAGAAGTATGAGACAGTTTCTAAACGTGTAAATGTATGTGACAGATATGCCTGATATTCAGAGGAGAAGGAAAAGACAAGTAGAAGAAATATTTGAAGTAATCATGCTAAGCATTTTTAAAAATCAGCAACAAGTTAACCATGAAATATATTAGCTCAGATAATACCAAGTACATAAAAATAATAAAGAATCTGGGGCTGGGGATTTAGCTTAGTGGCGCCGCACCTGCCCGGCAAGCCCAAGGTCCTGAGTTCAATCTTCAGTACCAAAAACAAAACAAACCAAAAAAAGAATATGTACTTGGGGATAGCATAAGCAAATGAAAGGAAACCGAAGGATTTTTTTTTTTTGGTACCAGGGCTCGAACTCAGGTCCTTGCACTTGAGAGGCAAGCAGCGGAACCACTGAGCTAAATCCCTGGCCCAAAGGATTATTTTAAAACAATTAAAAAAGTGGGGGAAACAGCTTGATAATAGAGGAATAAGGACAAGAATTATGGACTTCCCATCATAAAGTATCCAAGCTTGAAGAGTAGGGAGAAGTATTTAGTGTTAAAAGAAAAAAACCTATAGAAATAAATATTTTTAAATCCTTCAAAAGTGAAAGAGAAAATTTTTCTTAAACATAAACAGAGGAAATTCATTATCAGCAGACTTGCTGTCTTAGTTACTTTCCTTGTTGCTGGGACAAAATACCTGGTACCCACAAGTTAAAGAAGGAAAGGCTTATTTAACTCACAGTCTATAGAGGTTTCAGTCCATAATTGGCTGGCTCTAAGGCAGGGTTTCATGACAGAAGGGCATCACAGAGGAGAAACAGACCATGGTGTGGCAAGCAGAAGGCAGGAAACAGCAGCAGCAGCAGCAAGCAAGCCTGCTTTCTTTCTGTCCATTTATATTCCATCCAGGCTACAAATCAATTGATTGGTGCCACCTACATCCAAACTGGGGCTTCCATTATCCACACCCAGAACTATGCTAACCCAGTTAGTTACCACACACCCTTAATCCCAGTATCACACGCCCTAATCCAGCATCACATACCCATGATCTAGCCACCTCCCAAAAGCCCCACCTATGAGGACATGAGACATTGGAGGGACATCTAAATATAACCTATAAAACCTGCCATACAATAAATGTTACAAGAAGCTCTACAGGTGAAATGAAAATGATAGCTCAAATCTGTGTAAAGAAAGGAAGGAAACTAATGAAGGAATAAATAATGATAAACAAATTTATTTTTCCTATTCTTAGTTGACATAGCAATAATAATAACACATGGGCGATCATAGTATATGAATAAGTAAAATGAATGTCAGCAATATTAAAAGGTACGGGAGGCAGGGATGGGGAAATATTTTATCATTAGGTACCTGTACTACCTGTGAAGCAGCATAGTGTTATTTGAAAGTGGATTTAGGTTACTTGTAAATGTGTATTACAAACTTTAGGGAAGCTGCTAACACTTTTTAAAAGAAAAAAAATGATTGATAAGCCAAAAGAAGAGAGAAAAATGAAAGATGTTTTTAAAAACATGAAATCATATGGCTGGGGATTTAGCTCAGTGGTTCAGCTGCCTCCCTCAAAAAGTGCAACGTCCCAAGTTCGAGCCCTGGTACCAAAAAAAAAAAAGAAAGAAAGAAAGAAAAAGAAATCATAAAGGAACAATGATATATACAAAGGAACTATAAAACAGAAAACAATTAAAATGCATTAATAAATCTTTACATATGAGTATTTCAAATTTGAATGTATTAAACTCTTCCATCAAAAGACATACAGTGGCTAGATGGATTTAACAAAAAAAGATCAAATTCTATGCTACCTATAAGACACTTACTTTAGCTTTAAGAACACATATAGGCTGAAACATGAAAGAATGGAAAGAGATATTCCATGAAAATGGTAACCAAAATAAAACAAAGGTGACTGTTATGGCTTGTATCTAGATGTCCCCCTAAAGCCACATGTGCTCATAGGTGGGGCTTTTGGGAGGTGGCTGAATCATGAGTTTGCGATGTTGGATTAGGGGGTATGATAACTAAATTGGTTTAGCATAGTTCTGGATGTGGATAATGGGAAGGCCCACCCAGCGTGTGGGGTAGCCTGGATAGAATATAAAGGGAGACTTGCTGCTGCTGCTGCTGCTGCTGCTGCTTGCTGCTTGCTGCTTCCTGCTTCCTGCCTACCCTGCCATGGGCTGTTTTTCCTCCATCATGCCCCTTTGCCATAGCACCCTGATTTGGAGCCAGCTATGGACTGAAACCTCTACAAAAGCTAAATAAACCTTTCCTCCTTTAACTTGTGGGTGTCAGGTATGTTGTCCCAGTGATGAGAAAAGTAACTAAGACAATGACTATACTTACATCAGACAAAATAAAATTTAAGTATATCCAAAGGGAATAAAACCAGAACATCATAAACATACCTGTAATCCCATGTTCATTGCAGTATTATTCACAATAGACAAGATATGGAAAAATCTAAGTATCTATTGACAAATAAGTGGATAAAGGAATTGTGATAATCTATACTGCTACCTATGTCATATTTTTAAAAGGAGATCCTGCATTAGGAACTACATGGATGAACCTAGAGGACATTATTCTAGGTCTAATAAGACAGACACAGAAAGAAAAATACTAGCCAGGTGTGGTGGCATACGCCTGTAATCCCAGCACTCAGGAGGCTGAGGCAGGAGGATCAGTGTGAGTTTGAGGCCAGCCTGGGCTATATAGGGAGTTCAGGGGCAGCCTGAACTACAAAGGGAGACCCTGCCTCAAAAAAAACCAAAAAGAAAAATACTGCATGATCTCTTATGTGTATGGAATCTTTTTTTTTTTTTAAAGTTGAATACATAGAAACAGAGAGGACAGAGGCTACCAAGGGCAGGGGGGTGGAGAATGGTAATGGGAGGATGTAGGGGAAAGGGTACTAAAAAGCATATGGTCTACCTTAAATATATACAAGTAAAACTAATACAAAATATCATCTAAATAAAAAAACAGAACTCCTGTTAAAAATCACATGACACAGAAAAAAAGGGGAAGATAAAAAGAACAGATGCAATAAATAATAAACCATTACAGACATGGTCCATATTAATCTAACTATATAAAAGTCAATTTTACCCTGCCAGGGATTTAGCTCAGTGGTGCTACTGCCTGCCTTGCAAGCACAAGGTCCTGAGTTCAATCCCTGGTACTAAAAAATAAATTAAAAATTAAAAATTTTTTTAAACAATCAATTTTAAAATGAATGGTAAAAATTCACCACTTAAAAGACAGAACTTCAGAGAAACCAGCATATAACATTATTTAGAAGATAGTAATTTTAAATATACAGACCCAGAAAAAACAAAGGGATATAGGAAAATATACCATGTTAACAGTAAAAACAAAAACAGGCATCATCATAGTAGTTTTATAGCTAGGCGTGGTGGCACATGCCTATAATCCCAGCACTCAGGAGGCTGAGTCAGAAGGATCACCTCAAGTTCAAGACTATGAGCTACACAGTGAATTCAAACCAGGGTGAACTACACAATGAGACTCAGTCTCAAAAAATATAGTAGTTTCAGACAAAGTATATTTAAGAATTAAATATAAGCAAAATTATCAGGGATGAAGGTGACATCACTTAATCACAAAGGGGTCAATTCTCCAAGAAAATATAACAATTCTCAAGATGTATATATTTACCAACAGTGTCAAAATGTATAAATGCAGAAACAGGTAGAAATGCAAAGAGCCTTAAATCTATGCTACTTTTGGAAACTTCAAGTCTCTATCAGTACTTGATAGATTCAGCAGAAAGAAAATCAATAAAAATATATTTGATTTGATTATCATCAGACATTAACTTGATATCATTGATATTTGTCCAATAATTTATCCAACAATAACAAAATAGGCTTTCTTCTCAGGCTGACAGGGAAGACTCACCAAGATACAGTACATTCTAGGCCATAAACTGTACATCAACAAATATAAAAGAGTGGACCCAGTAGTGGTGGCGTATGCCTATAGTCCCAGCACTTGGGAGGCTGAGGCAGGAGAATTTTGGTAGCCAGCCTGGGATATATAGGGAGTTCAAGGATAGCCTGAACTACATAGAGAGACCCTGTCTCAAAACAAACAAAACAACAACAACAACAAAATACTGTGAACATATGGATCAAAAGAAGTATCAAGAGAAAATTTAAAATATTTGAAACTAAATGAAAATACCACTTACAATGATGTGTGGAGTGCAGCAAAAGCAGTGCTTACAGTGACATTTAAAGCCTTGAACTTCATGTATTAAAAAACAAGCAAGAGGGCCGGGGATTTAGCTCAGCGGTTACCGCCGCCTGTCTTGAAAGCGTAAGGACCCAAGTTCGATCCCTGGTAACAAAAAAAAAACCAAGATCTAAAATCTCTGCGCTGCTCTGGCTTGCTTACCTGATGGAGGCCTCTCTGATTGCAGAATACTGGGAAACATGGGTTTGTCTTCAGGTAGCACAGAGACAGAAGGAGGAACCCCAACCCACAAAGGCAGTCAAGGGCAGGAATACCCAGGAAGCCAAACTGCAGTTCATCCATTCCACCGTGAGGCTCCTCACACACAGAAGGTGGTGCCCATCATCAGAAGCTGGACGCTGACAGTGCACATTCCACACCACCGTTCCAGGCCCACCTCACAGAGGGCAGCGTCGGGCAGAGGTTCTGGAGGTGGGGGAGGGGCACTGTGGGAGAGGAATCCACAGCCCTCCCCATCCCCCAGCCCAGCTGAGGGATCCAGTCCAGGGCCGGTAGATCCCCACACTTTTCCCTGCACACCCACCTTTATTATATACCATGCACCTACCTCACTGACATTGTCTACTTAATCCAACGTTAGCTAGGTGTTCTGGGAGGCTTTTTCTGCTTAGTGACCTTCCTTTTGGTTCCACACAATCTTTGAAATTGTGTTGTGCCCAATGGGTTACACTTCAAAATCTACTCTGTCCTCACCTGCAACTTTCCCCGTACACAGTGTTTTGTTCACATCTATAAAACCAGAAATAGTCTCAGCAGTAACTTACCCCTCCACATACACCTACATAGTTCCTGGTAATAATCCACATTCACCAACACTTGTGAGAGGGCAGAGCAGCCCATACCAAGGACTCAGGAGGGGGAAAGCTTACAGCCCACCCAGGGAAAACAAACATCTTCTAGCAGCTGTTTCTTTCAGAATCTCATAGACTGGTCTCAGATCTAGCCTCCCACGTAGCACCCCACCCAGCTGCCTCCTCATTCTCCCTACCTAACCCTCTCTCCTTCCCAGCAGCTATTAATATTGTTTTGTTTGTTTGTTTGTTTTGTTTTTGGTACCAGGGATTGAACTTGGGACCTTTGGCTTGTACGGCAGGTGCTGGAACCACTGAGCTAAATCAGCTAAATCCCTGGCCCTAAAATTTACAATCTGTAAGGCTTCATTATTTAGACTGTAAACTGTCATTTCCTGCCATTGCTTGTCTGTGTGCCCTCAGTGGAGCTGTTGACTGCCTTAGGTACTTTCTGTATCGTGGTGCACCAGTAACACAGGCCCTTTCTTTGCCTCCACTGCCCACCTATAACAAAACCCACTTTAAGCCTGCCTTCTCTCTACTGCCTTCCTTGACTGCAGTAGATCTGTTCAGAAAAATCCCTCCAGTGGCATGTGTTAAATTATCACAGTGTTCTGTTCACTTCTATAAAACCAGAAATAAGCTCAGCAGTAGCTCACCCCCCCAACACACACATATATAGTTGCTGGTCATAATCGAGTAAGAGAATATCCTTTTCTTACTGGACACAATGGAATATTCAAGGAGAAAATGCATAAGTAAGAAATGTGTTGTCTAAGACAGCAGACAGAAGGCTGATGACTCAGCAATAAAGGAATTTACCTAGAGTGGTGTCTTTGTTACTTCCCTGGTCACTGGGACACAATACCCCATACCCACAAATTAAGAGGAGGGGATTAATTTGGATCACAGTTTATAGGGATGGCTCACAATTTATAGTGATTTCAGACCATCATCAGATGGCTCCAAGGCAGGGTGGCATGGGAGAGGGGCAGGGCAGGGGACGGTTGCTCACGGCAGGCAGCAGGAAGCGGAGAGAGATCAAGGGAGGAGGAAGGCAACAGACCCTTCCAGACCCTACCCCCAGTGACCACCTCCTCTGACCAAGCTTTGCCTCTCAACATCACAGTTAGCTGTAAACTCATCAGTGGACAGATCCAATCAACTCCCAGAAGCCCCACCTGACCACATAGGCTTTGGGGGATATTTAGATATAAATTATAACAAGTAGATAAGGCAGAAAGAAGTTTATTGAAGTATAGACTGTGTGAGACAGCAGAACAGTCAAAGGGAGGGCAGCTTTTGTGTGATTGCTGACCCGAGGGTTGTCGAGGTTTGTGACATTTGGGAAGCTTGGACAATAAGTTATTTTTGGTGTGGGGTAGACAGCACTTGTGACATGATCAGTGTGAAGTAAACAGCTTCTTGTGACAAGACTGCATTTCAGCCATGGGATGTGTATCCTGAAATAGTTTGTTCATGCCTGCTCTGCAGAGTAAGGAATCTTTGTCTCATTTTTTTTTACAAAATATATTCTCAAATATTCAGGGATATATATGGCCTCTACAATGACAAGAGGTGCTCAAAGTAGTGGCCATTGGCTTCCAGGTATTTATTAGTATGGTGAACTACTGCTTGGGTAACTTTGGTCATTGAGATTGCTGCACATGCATTTTCAATTTCTTCTCTAAAGGGCCACAGTGTAGTGGGTTTTCTGCAATCTAGGACATCCTCTAGGGTCCCCTATAGGAAGGTAACACCATTTGTTGAAAAAACATCATACTATTTTTCTTTTCCTGAAGTGTGTATACATTTTTTTAGCGGACTCTGGTGTGTGTGTGTGTCTGTCCTCTCTATATAATTTGTGTGTGTGTATGTGCACACACACATATAGACAAAGGGAGGAGAAGGGGGAAAGGGGGTGGAAGTCTAGAGATAAATGGCAGATGGGTCAAAGCATTAATAACATCCACCACCTGCCTCACATGTGCAAGGACTCGAGTTTGATCCCCAGTACCAAAAAAATTATATCAGATAAATCTAGATAAAGGGTATACTGATGCTTTCCATCCATGCAACTTCTACACGTTTTTAAAAAATACATATATTTTTTAAAATGATCATTGATTATGTTGCCCCAAGCATCACCTAACATTTGAGAATTTTGGCTTTGATTCCTGCAGCTGCGCCCTCCCTGCCCAGCCCTCCCTGCTACTGCCCACAAGCAGCTGCAGAACAAGGCCTTAGAATCTGCCCCAGGGGAGAAGCTGGGATCCTCTCGTCCCACTTCAAGCAGTGTACATGTGAAAAGAACTTTTCATTTTGTTCATTATACACAGTGAAAAACAACAACAGCTAAAAGTTCAAAGGGCCACCTTTCAGCATGAATACTCCTAGTTTCCAGTTCTGTACCACTGTGTCACTTGTCTTTTGGAGTTTGTGGCAGATCAGTTTACAGGTGCTTTTTCTGCTTTGCTAAATCACTTCCCTCTCTCTCCTCCATAGGATTTCCATCTTCCAAAATGTCTTGATACATTTTGTCATATCCTCTCTCTCTCTTGTTCTTATCAGCCAAAACCACTTATACTTTTTTAATTCTTTCCTCCTTAAACAGTTTTATTGAGATACAGTCCACAAACTGTCCCAGGATGTTAAGGTCCATACTGCTCATCTCTCCCCACAAAAATGTGGGAGACAAACTATGGTGGTAACAAGAAAAAAAATTATTCAAAACTAGCTCCAAAGAGGCATGGAAGCCTTTGCCTCAAATCTCTGTCTCACTGTGTTCAGGGTGACAAAGGATTTTATTTCAGGAAAGAGAAGAGGAATACAATGAGACAATAGACCAGGAAGTCTGGGGGCTCTTTCCAGCTGTCTCTCACCCTTGTGGAATAGAAATTGAAACTGCGCCTTCTAGTTCAATCATTTTTGGTATATTCACAAAGTTTTGTGTCCACACCATCAGTGGATGTTAAGGTCCATACTGCTCATCTCTCCCCACAAAAATGTGGGAGACAAACTATTGTGGTAAGAAGAAAAAAATTATTCAATTTTTTTTCCATTATTTTTTCCAATCTCCACAGTCAACTTTAAAACATTTTTATGACTTCAAAAAGAAACCATCTCCTCAATTCATGCTAACCATCCCTCATCCTCCACCCCTAAGCAACCACTTGTCTACTTTCTGTCTCCATAGATTTCCTTTTCTGGACATTTTGCAAAAATGGAATCATGTAATATGTGGTCATTTGAGCTCTTTCACTTGGCAGTGTTCTCAAAATTCATCCAAGTTGTAGCATGCACCCTACTTTATTCCTTTTTCTGACTGACTTATACTCCACTGCATGAATATACTAACTTGTGTTTATCCACTCATCAGCTGATGGACATGTGGGCTTTTTTTACCCCAAGCTGAGTAATGTTTCTAGAAACATCCGTGCACAGGTTTCTGTGTGGACATGTTTTTCTCTTGGGCGTGTACCTAGAAAGGGAATTGCTGGATGATGGGACAACTCTATGTTTAACATTTTGAGGATTTGCCAGAATCTCTTCTGAGACAAATATGACATTTTATATTTCCACCAGCAGTGTATATGGCTTCCGACTTCTTGTTGACTCCAACACTTGACTCTTTACTACTGTCCTAGTGAGCATGAAGTATTCTCTCATGCTGGACTTTATTTGCATTTCTTTGATAATTAATGATGTTGAGCACCTGTTTATGTAATCAATACTTTTAGTGACCATCTAGGAATGAAAGTGTGACAGGAAAAAAACTTTGCTTCTAAATATTTGAAAATACTGACACCAGATTCTCAGTTGGTCATCAACAAGCATGGATTTCTACTTCCATGGTTCTTAATACAGTTACCATGTATTTATTGCATCTTGGCATTTTGGCTAAGATCAAATGTGATTACTATCTGATTAAGGGACTTAAATGTTCTGCACTGAATTTGCAAAGATCCTTTTTGGGATATTATTGGGCCTGAGGATTCAGACAAATGACTCCTTGGAGTTGACTGAAGAAAAGAACTCATTGCCAAAGCCTAAAAGGCTCAATGCTTTTAGTCATCAATGCCATGTACTCTGTTTTGGGTAAGTGTGTTCTTATTATGATAAATATGAAGGCATTGTGAAAGCCTTAACATGGAGTATATAACATATCATCTAAGAGATGAATGGCAAGATATGTGTGTTGTTTTTTCTTGGTACCGGGGATGAAACTCGGGACCTTGCGCTTGCGAGACAGGTGCCGGAACCACTGAGCTAAATCCCCAGCCCGAAGGGCAAGATATTGAAGTAGACCTTATGCACTTTAATCATATTGTCAAAGATGGAGTGCATCACATATGTCAAATAATTGTGAAAGGTGAGTTCAGGTAACATAGAGAGTTATATTGTTCTATCTGTTTCTGCATATGCTTAAAATTTTTTAGAATGAAAAGTTTATAAAGTGAAAGATGCTGATTACCTTATGAAGAGAGGGAGAGGCCAGTAAGGATTGGTGACCTGGCTGGATCAGCCTGTCCAGGCTAGAGTTTAGCTATCCCTCATTAAAAATGTTTCAGGAAGTGTAATTGTGTTTAGGCAATGACCATAGAAGGATACCTCTTTCTGTACAAAAAGAAGGAAGGGAGGGAGGGAGGAAGGGATACAGTTTTTTGAGGCAAAGCTGCCTTCTGATGGCTTCTAGTTCCACTGTGAATGGTGAGTCCCAGATATCTGCTAACCAGTGGAGGTGACTTCAGTGTGATTCAACCTAAAAGGGAGTAGCATGGCAAGGAGTTTAGGCTAAGAATTGGTGCCCTAGGCTGTGTGAGGTATGTTCACTGAGACAAAGTACAGAATGATGATGTGCAGGAGGGAATAGATGACTGATTGCCAGTTAGTGCTGGCGCTGTCCATAAATTCATTGTAGTACCAGTTGACTCGATTGTGAATTTTAATCCAATAGTGATCAGTCACATCACATCAGTGATCAGTCACATCAGGCACATCTTTCCAGAATTGAAAGGATGGGGTAGATTGGATAAGGCCTATTTAGAGTGGAGCTTTTCAAATGTTGCTTGCCTTAGATACCTTGAGGTCTATCTTGAAGAGAGAAGAAATGAAGACAAGAGCTTGATGGATAGAATAGTAAGTGGAAAAAAACTGACAAATTTAGGGTGCAAGTAGATGATGTCAAAGGGC